GTGTGTGTGTGTGTGTGTGTGTGTGTGTGTGTGTGTGTGTGTGTGTGTGTTTTCCAATAACTGATATGAACTTCTTCCATGTGGGGATGAAATGAGCTAAGAAAGGGATTTGTTTTAGGGTCAAGCCTTATAATTGAAGCATTAAGGTTAGTTTTATTTGAAGGCTAGGTTAGCGTAATGAACTAGGGTCTGCATTGTGTCAAAGGGATGTCCCCACAAGTAAGCAAAGACTGGTGTGTGACAGAAACAATGAGACAAAAGGAGACAGAGAAGATGGAGACATAATGCAGAAAACATTAAATTAAGGCCCACAAAAAGGGAAAAAAAGGCTCAAAACTTCAAAAAAGAGATGGAGATGCTTTAATGCTTACTTAAATCATGTCTGTTTTTTTTCTCCTTGCAGAGCAGAGACTCCAAACCCAAATGAACACCAAGGAAGCAGAAAACAGCCAGTAGGTCTGTCCTAAAATATTATTACACAATATCATAGGTTCTGAGAATTAATAAAGTTAGTATTGTTTGATTTTCTGGAATGAATCTCTGCCTCAACATGTGATAAAACTCACATTTTCAAGTAACGTTTATCTCATTGATTCCCTCTAAATACAGGTTTAAAAACACTGTTGGCTATTTTCCCCTATTTCAACAAATCTAATAAATATCTTGAAGGGGAAAAGAAAAAAATAACTACAGTAAAATGAAGTGCATGCTGCATGGCTATAAGTGCTCAATAAATTTGCTGAAGAAGCTGAATAGAGCTAAAAGAAGCAGAACACTTAAAGCAAAAGTCAAGCAAATCTGTATAGCTAAATCAAAAAACAGCAAAAAATGAAATGATAAAAGTATCAAAATGGTATAAAATCCTATCTAACAGCTTATGATCATTAATTATGGTCCTCAAGGTCCGCAGCCCTGCATGTTTTACTTTTTTCCCTTCTCAAACGCACCTGATTCAGTCAGTTAACGACCTCTTCCAAGTTCTGCAGAAGCCTGACAATCATCTATTTGTTGAAATCAGGTGTGTTGGAGCAGAGAAACAAGTAAAACATGCAGGGCTGCGGACCTCCAGGACCGGGATTCATGATCCCTGGAAGAAGCTTAAAAATAAGTTGCAAAAGGCTATGTGACTAAAAACTTCAAAGCTCTCCAAGCCAAAAGGAAAGTAATAAAAGACTATCAGCTATCTGACAAAATTAGCAAAAAGATATAGCTCAAACAATCCAAAGGATATGGATAAAGGGTAGCCAAATGCAAACTGAAAGCTGAACTAAGAGCATGCTGAAGCTGGTTAAAAAGAACTGAAACGCAAGGAGTCTCAGTGTTTTGGGGAAACTATTTGTCATAAAGTTTAATTTTCAAACATGTCAAAGCATTTTCAAAAGAAAAACAAAATTAGTTATATCTTAAATCATTATTTTTCAACCCTGGAACACTGCCGTGCATGCTTTTAACACAGCCGATTTCAGTTGATAACTGATTAACAAGCCTTTGTTGAGCTGCAGTCATATGAATCAGGTATGTTAAAGCAGGGGAACGACATGCAGGGCAGTGTGCCTTGAGAACCAGGGTTGGGAAAGCTCAAATATTTGATATATGAAAAGCTAAAATCACACAAAACAGGGCTTTTGTTCAACTGTCAAAACATACAAAAGAATAGAAATCAGGAAACAAAAGTGTGAATCTTGAAACATCATTCAATCAATAAAAAAAAGGCCTCACCTTGACTTTAATTTGAAGTGGTGCAGCAGTTTGAAGGAGGTGTCATTGTAAGTGTGCGCCAGCAGGGGGCGGTAGAGAACTTTAGAGAACTTGTGACGCTCACACTGCGGCCCGCCGTGCTGCACGCTGACGGTGCGTGTCATGAACACCAGGGGGCGCTACAGACTGCAGGATGACGTCTCTCCTCACGCTAGAGTTGGGGTTCTGACCATCTGCACCACCTTCCATTACCCCTCCAGCTCTGTAGGTCGGTCAGGGAGGGGCCTCGTGGGAGGTTCTTACCTTTAATGCACCTCGAGCATGCTGCCGAGATTATTTCATCTGGAAACGATTCCATGTCATGGCACTGAGGCTGAGTTATTACACAAAGTGAAGCTAATCTATGGTGGATTAAGATCGTTTAAGGTTTGAAACATGGGTCTTTGTGGGCGGAAATTAATACAACATGCACTCAAATACATTTGTAATAAAATATACGAGACTTCAGCTGCGCCATTATCGTTAGACTCTTCTACATTTGCTTAAAAATAAATAAAAAGTTTGTTTTGTCACAGTTCCAGATCCGCAACAGATGCTAAAACAAGCAAATCGGTGTCCAGTTTGAAACGGTCACACGCACACAGCCGCTGCGTGTTTTCACAGAGCTGCTTTATGGCTTTACTGCCTCCTCAAAGCAGGAAACAAACGCTGCAAACTGCATTCCGGACACATCCGGAAAAATGCAAACAGCGTTCAGTTTGTGTTTGTTTAGGAGGAAACGGGGGTCTGGGTGTGCGTAAAACCAAAATACATGCATTTTACGCACATCATTTTTTATGATATACTTTCATTTTCAGACTCAAATAATCCAGTTAAATGGAAAATACAACTAAAATGAAGCTAAAAAAGAATAAGAACTGTTTGCAACGTGAAAAGAAAGCCCGAAGAACACTTAATTATCCAGCAGCACAACCCCCCCGATGATTAGTCTTTTTTTTCTCCCTTCCTTTGGCGCCATTATCGAATAAAGTGGCTCTTGGTGCAGCAGGGCCAAATAATTTATGAACCAGAGTGGGAGTAGTGAGGAGGAAAAAAAAAAAAGAAAAGAAGCTGAGCACGTGACGGTAATAAACTGTGTTTTATTGCTGCACTTTGACAAGCCCCAAAATATAACAGAGAGAGAAAAGCCGACAGGCGGCCAGATGGGATCGGTGGCAGAGATTTGTCCCAAATCAACAGAATGCGCCTCCTTATCTCCGGGAGAACCGGCAGAACACGGATCCAATGATCCGCTTGGCTCGGGGGTTCAGACGGGACGTTTTGTGGACACGAACCATCGTGTTTTAACGCGAGAGCAGGACGCAGCCAGTAGTAAGTCACGACTTGGGTTTCATATTTGGCGCAGATATGAAGT